GGTGGAAAAATTTTGCTAAAATTTGTGTGACATTTCGCTGAAATTATAAGTTTTGAAACACATTTCAGTGAAATTTCAAATACGTAATTTCAAAAATACGTATAATGTAATACTTATAATGTAATATGCGCGATAAAGTAATAATAGAATTAAAAACAAATAAGTTACACAGTCTGTTAATAATAAAATTTATTTATATAAATACAAATTTCATATAAATTTTATATAAATTTTATTATTAACAGACTGTGTAATTTATTTGTTTTTATTTCTATTATTACTTTATCGCGCGTATTACATTATAAGTATTACATTATACGTATTTTTGAAATTACGTATTTGAAATTTCACTGAAATGTGTTTCAAAACTTATAATTTCAGCGAAATGTCACACAAATTTCAACAAAATTTTTCCACCAGGGTCTTTGTAATCTTCTGTAAGAATGTGATAATTAAAAAATTACTCAGGAAACAAATTCTATAATTTAAATAAATCATCAAATACTTGCATTAATATATTTACTATTGCTGCAACATTTTTCTCATAAATGTTTAATTTTTAACACACAATGCATCATAGAAGGCGTGGTTTAGAAATTTGACGGTCAAACCGATAAGCCGTGCCAAAATCGCACGAGTTTCGAGCGAATTTCGCACGGTGAAGTGGGGTGTTTATGCGTACTGCGCTCGTGCGGCTATCGTAAAAAGCTGGTACGACCGTAGCACGCATCACGTTCTTTTTTTTCAGAGCGATTCTCGTGCCATGATTGCACGACTTCATGCATAAACAGATTGAACGATGGTGCTATTAGCGCATTGAAATAGGCCACGCGATAGTAGTATCGACTGTCCGTGCCAAAATCGTAACAGATTTCTCTCCGTGTAGGGCGTTGTAAATTGCATTTTATATCTTTTTTTTTGTTCATTACATAACTAAGATAGAATAAAGCAACGCGTAAGCGCTCAATCTCACGTGTTGCTTCATTCTATCTTATGTCATGTAATAAATAAAAAAAAAATAGAATAAAATTTACAGCGTAAGTGCCCAAAGCGCGTGGACCTCATGTCTACAAACTTTATATGCTCCTAAACATCGCGGAGATGAGATGAGAAGAGTAGCGGAAGGTGGAGCTGAGTCCTGGTCTGTAATATACAAAATGCATTGATTAGAGTTGGAAAATTATAGATCATATAAACAAGAAGTACAAACGTAAAGGAAAATATATAATGATATGCATCACTAACACGAACTCTCATTATTGAAAACAGGACCGTACAAAGGGTTTTTGGGGCTCTACTGCAAAGGTAAATATGGGGTCCTACCTTTTCATAAAGTTCGTATCAAAAAAGCTTTTAAGGATTTAGAAAATTTAAGAAATCAGAATAATTAAAATTATATTTATTTATTTTATTATATATTATTATATATATGTATACTTATATATAATAATATTATGTGTATATATACACTCAGTAAAAAAAAAGCGATATAGCAGAAAAGTTGGAAAAATTTACAAAACTTTAAATGCTCATAACTCAGTAAATAACTATGATACAGAGTTGTTCAAAATACAAAAATAAAGCTTGAAGACTGTACTTTGAGATACTTCTAATGCCGATTGAGTGGCATCAATAATTTTCCAATGGCCGATGATAGAGTAAGGACCTGTAAAATTGACAAGTAAAACCTCCTGTTTCCGGAGAGGCATGGAGTAAAGCAGTTGACGCAGCTTAGTGAGATAAAAAAGGCGTGAAATTTCAAAATCTTTCCTTCTAAGCTGCAATTTCAAACAATCAATATCTTAGAATTGCTATCTTGCCTGCCCTTCTCGACGCCTATGTATGTACTTACTTGTTAGTAAATAATGAACTAAATTTAAATTAAATGCAATACATGTTTTTTTGTTAAATTATTTAATTCCATTATTTTAGTTAAATTATTGACATATTCAGCAGAAGTAGGTGATCTATAGAGATTATTTAAAAGAATTCAACGAAGAACAACTTTCTCTTTTGGTAATTTCTCGTTTCATTAAAAACAACAGAGATCCCGGGTAGAATTTTGTCGGGGCGTGCCCCACATCCATATAGGGCCTGAACAGGCATGCCCTAAAATAGGTCTGTCAACGTTGGGCTCAAATAAGCATACCTTAAAATAGGCCTGCCATCGTTGGGCCTAGAAAGGCCCTAGAAAGAAAAATTCTAGATAGAATTTCCTAAACAGGCCTTGAATGGGCATTGACGTGAGTGCCTTTAACAAGGCCTGCCATTGTTGGGCCTAGAAAGGGCCTAGGAAGGAAAATTCTAGATGGAATTTCCTAAACAGGCCTTGAATGGGCACTGACGTGTGTGCCCCTAACAGGGCCTGCCATCGTTGGGTTTAGAAAGGACCTAGAAAGGAAAAATTCTGGATGGAATTTCCTAAACAGGCTCTGAATAGGCACTGACGCGATTGCCTTTAACAAGGCCTGCCACTGTTGGGCCTAGAAAGGGCTTAGAAAGGAAAATTCTAGATGGAATTTCCTAAACAGGCCCTGAAAAGACATATGACAATGACGTGTGTGTGAGTGCCTCTAACAAGGTCTGCCATAACTGAGCCATCACATATTGCTAAACAAGAGAAATTGTAAAAATAAAAGTCATAAACAGGTGCGAAATAGGTATAAATGTGGCGGTCCAAAACATACAATCCAGGCAGGGTTTAGTTTAATCAATTTCTGAAATAGTAATATGAAGTCTTAAAGCGTTTTAGTTTGAAGTCTAAAATAAAATTCACTATAATAAGTTTGAAGTAAAACCAATATAACTATAATGATTGTGGTTCCTAAAAATAGTATTTTAGTAGAAAATTTTACACAAACAGGCTACACTTAAGTTTACATTTTTAATTTTGTTATAAAAATGTTACTTTGAAATTTTACAAATAAATCACAATTGGAAGGAACGATAACTTTAAAGGAGATAGTCAAGTGACAGTCACTTCCAAAAGTTAATTCGTGTACAAACGGTTAAACTTTTTGATGCAATGATACAGCATTGACCAATGAGATCGCTTCACGCACACACTCATTGTCCTGTACCATTCGTGTTGACAAAGATGTGGCAACGTCCTGTTTCCCAAAACATACCTATCACTGTAACTTATAATTCATATTCCAGTATTTTTACAATATTTTATCCGCATAATTCAGAAAAACACTTGTTTTGGTTATGTATGATGTATCATAATATGCCATGTGGGAGATTCCGTTCGGTTCAATCAATGAGCGACGTTGCCACATGTACGCAACCCCCTCTTCTTCTGACGAATAGCATTATTTTCATATCGCTTTTATTAAAAAAGTATGTGGCTACGAGTCACCAATTTTGTTTATATCATTGCTAACATTATTATATACAACATATCAGTTTTTTAAAAAGTTCGTAAATTCCGATCCCTTTCATATCAAATTTAATGTGCGTTTCATGACGGCATGGAATAGGACTTACATGTTAAATTCGTGAACGAAATATTTGAAACGAAATATTTCGCTTATCCTGTGGCTACGACATCTGAAATTTTAAGGAACGATTGTTATGCATACGATCAACATATGCTAATTTTTTTAGAATTTTCGTAAAATTTTCAATTTACTCGACTACCTCCTTAAACTGTTAGTGGCAACAATTATTTAAGGGGGTACTCTACTCTAAAAATTTCAAAAAATCGAAAATCTTTATCTTCGTAAGTAAAAATCCTTCATAAACGGTGCGCAAAACTTTAACGCGTTTTTCTCAAAACCATGTTTTTTGAACTGGTGCCCAAGATATCTCAAGATCTATTTGACCGATTAAGTCCGGCTTTTGCGTACATCCTCAGCAGATGTGCCGCTATAGCCGGAACTAGAATTAAGTAAAAAAAAATTTTTTTACGATTTTGACAACCTTCGAAAGATAAGAAAATTCATACTAAATTTTCAAAGTGCCGCCATTTTTTTAATTTTCTATTTTTTTATTCCATTCTAGTTCCTGCTAC